GCATAAACATCCAGATGAGGCTTCAGTTCGTCCTGTTTCACTCTTTGAACAAACTGGCACAAAGATGGTTATAATGGTGGTTGGTGATATACTTCCAGCTCTAAGTGTTGCACATTAGTCATGTTTTTGTTTTTGCTGCTTCAGCTGCTGCTCCTCCTCTCATCACCCGTCGCTCCAGTAACTTTTGTCTGGTCGGCTCTCATAAGATCGCGTTGGCCTCACTGGGACACAGCAAATTCCCCCTGGATAAGGTAAGATTGTGTCTGTTGCTGGGGATGAACACTGAGGAGGACTGTTAGTGAAAGCCTGTTCAACATTTTTACAAATATTTTAATATTCAGCAACTCTGGAACCTAGTGGAAATGTGAGTTTTGGTAAAGAGAAATAGGAGTTGGCGATGGAAACTTGTCTTTGAAAGTTTGATGAGTAAAAAATAAGATGGACAAATGGAAGCTTCTTTTGTCTGTGTAGTTGTGTAAATGTGAATTTGCTGATTGAGTGATGCAGCTGAATAAAAGCACTGTCTTTGGGATTTGCAGCCTGAGAGGAAGAAGCACAGTGCTGCAAACACCACCCCGCATGCTTTCCCCCTTTTGATTTGTTATTACCCCACACATGCACGGGCTCACTGGTGATGTAACGCGTCTGTCTCCCTCCCCTTCTTTTCTTGCTTCTTTCACTCAGATGAAACTGGATGGCAAAGTCAGGAGGCTGCTGGGAGATGAATTTCAGGAAAAGGTTTCACTTTTTCACAATTCTGTCACCCCTCCACCGCTCTGAAAACTCACCTATTTCATAATTCATAAAAACCTTCGAGGGTTATTTGTAAATAACTTTGCTGTCACTTTAGATAAGAAAGAACTTGAACTAATCTCAGAGATTAAAGACTATCCATTATGTTGCCATTTTGAATGTGAAACTTGTTCTTAAGGACAAAGTGATCTCAACTTGCTTATACATATTACTGCATGTGTAGTCAGTGTACATGTTCTTACATTTCTCTCCTATATTCTTGATTCCTGCAGATTGAAATTATCTTTACTTCGTGGAAAACGGCAGCATTCGCTGTCGAAGTGACCACTGCCGGTCATCTGTTAGATTATGTGTAGAAAAGCATGTTGGGATGTATTTGAAATGCTGTTTTCTGTTACCACCATTTAAAATCCTGCCAGTCTGACCCTGTGTGCCCCTCCCTGTCCTTTTCTGGCTTTAGGTGCCCTTTCTTTCCCCTCTAGAGGGCAACATCTACCTGCAGCTGGAGAGCAAGAGCCACTCTGACATCCAGCACCAAGGCTTCCTGGTCAGGAATTTTATATATTTGATTATATATATTTTTATATTAAAGAAAAACCTGAGTATGTCACAGAGAGATTTGTCTTAGCAGGATATTTTCTTGGGCGTTTTACTTTATTCTTCCATTCTCGCTCACACTCCGTCTGCCGCTGTTGGTTGTAGCTCTGTAGCAGATGCAGCTGGTTCGGTGTCACGATGCTGAGCTCACAGAGGCTGCAGACCAGAACGAAAACTCCTGTTTCCAGCTGGCAGCTATGATTCATGTTAGCATAGGTGGAGACTTCCTGAAACTGTGCTTAAGCACTTTGTCTGAAAATGAAAAAATTCTCTCATGCCATTTAACAAGTAGTTTCTAAGCCAGCCACGCAGATGAATCACGAGTGTGATCTGGAGGCTTGAAGCCTTCGTTGCGTGAGCATCAGATCATTTGGACCAGTGAGTCAAATCAAAGATAAAATGCCAGGCACACATTAATGTTCCAGATATAAAAAAAATTGAAATTGAAGTCATGTCTCAGTTTCTTAAAGTGACATTGCAGGGAGTGCAGATCCTGCCTCAGCTAAATTTTACACACATCAAATCATTTTCCTCTAAATTTAAACA